GTGGGTAGTAAGAGTATATCCCTGATGCTGGGTAGTAATTGTGTGTATTAGGGGGTGTCGTATCCGTATATTCCAGTTTGTTGGGTACATATGTGTCAGTCCAAGTGAAGGTGGTTGTGTCTGGGATTTAGTCATACAAAGTTAACGAATCATTACAAATATAATTATATACGGATAAAAAAAGTAAATTATTACCAAGAATATATATATTAGAATCAACTGTTTCATTTGCCATATATCCTAATGAATAAATTAATATAAGTAAATTGAATTTGTAACGCAATATCAAGTCAAACCAAGACAGACATACCAAACGCGATTATCATGTTAGTCCCTACCATCGTGGCAGTGTGTGAATACCTTCCTGGAGGTATGGTTCCATTTACAGAAACGGGAATCCAAGATATAGGATCTCGTGTTGTATCTAGGACCGCAATATCTGAAAACAAGCTAGTAAAAGTTACATCCACGCCACCATGAATGATAACTTTACCATCTTTTGCTGTAAAATTAATAAAATTAATAAAAGTGTGACACTTAGGTTAATAGTTTCAAAATATAGTAAGTCAATTACTTCCTACGGCGGCATGGTCTCTACGCGGTGATGGCAAATTTCCGCCAGCTGTCTAATTTAAGATAAAAAAAACATATGAATATCCATACGAATAAATCTACAAAATTAAAAAACGATAAAAAATTGGATACCTTCAAATCCCATTTCCCATTAGAAGTATCATATATATATATATTGGAAGTATCAACCATACTACCGCCAGAAAACCCACCAATGACATACATTTTACCATCCGCAAGTAGTGTAGACGTATGATGGTATCTTGGAGATGGAGTATAAGTCTGTGGACTTATGACGTTCCAAATGTTGATTCTGGTTTGTAATTGGTACAAGTCATTGTACTGTACTTGCGCTGATACGACAATACTGCTAGAGTCTGGGATGCCGCCAAAAAAAAAAACCGATGCATCTTCTAGCCTTGTCACGGCAGTATGTTCTCTCCGCCGTGATGATGGAGTTACATTTGGAATGCTCCAGTTTTGTGTAATTGT